GCTCCCGACACCCAATCAGGATAGTCCCTGTGAAAATCACCGATGAGCATAGGGTCCAAAATATCCTTCTCCAGAACCCAAGATCTCTCTTCGGGGACATAACCCTCCCCGCCGGCTAGATACTGAAGGGTAACATGGTGCCATCTGGAGTCGAGGATCTTGTGGACAGTATACACTGGGCACCCCTGAATGAGATGCGGGAGCGGTGGTAGGGTTTCAGGAGGGAGACATGGAAAGATGGGTGGATTCTGAAGGTGGGGGGGAAGCACGAGACAAAAAGTGACCGGGGCGATCCAGGAGAGAATCAGGAAGGGACCGATGTACCTGGGGCTGAGCTTTTTGGAAGGCAGGCGTAGAGGTAGGTTCCTCGTGGATAACCAGACTAACTGTCCTCTCCGAAAACATGGGGGTTAGTCTGCGATGCTGGTTAGCAAATCTGGCCTGGCGCTGGAACGACTTGGGGAGAGCTGTCCTAGCCATTCTCTAGGACCTCAGCAGATTGGAAATAAATTGGTGCACCAACGGCACGGCCGTATCTGGAGGGGTGTCGGGGATGAGAGTGGGTTGATATCTTAATGAACAGAGGAAGGGAGAGAGACCTGTGGAGGAGGAGGCAAGGGAGTTATGGGTATACTCTTCCCAGGGAAGCAGTGACGACCAGTCATCTTGTGAAGAGGAGGTGAATGTTCTAAAGAAAGGTAAGGAGGCTGGTTACTCCTTTCCACCTGTCCATTGGCCTCAGGGTGACATCTAGAAGTCAAAGATACATGGGTCCCAAGTGCTTGACAGAAAGCCTTCCAAAAGGCAGAGACAAATTGAGGGCCCCTGTCAGAGACCACATCCCTGGGCAGATCATGTATCCTGAAAACCTGCTACACAGTGTCACCATTTCCTGGGCCGTGGGCAGTGTGGGGAGGGGTACAAAATGGGCTGCTTTGGAAAAATCAATTGGAGACTACCATGATTATGGTATGGCCTTGACTGTTAGGAAGATCCGTAATGAAGTCGACAGCTATATGGGACCAAGGGCGGGATCGGAAGGGGGTGAAGAAGGCCGGCTTTCCTAGCCCGTGGAGTCTTAGTCCTGGCACAGATGGGGCATGACCGGACATACTCAGCAAGCTCTCATGGAAGACCACCAAAAATCCTTGGTCAAGAGGTCCAGAGTGCATCTGCTACCAGGATGACCTGCAAACCGGGAATCATGACCCAACTGCAGGACAGGAGAGCGCAAGTGATCTACCACAAAAAGCTTATCTGTGGGACAGTACAGAGGAACTGTAGTTCCATTGAGGGCATCTCTGACCTGATCCTCAATAGAGGAGTGAATCGCCACCAAGCTTCTATTAGATGAGATGATTGATCAGGCGTGTAGTCCAGATCTGGGAGGAATTGGAATGCCGTAAGAGTAGAGCCGAAGAGTTGTTTTGGGCATAGGAATGCCTGGTTAGCCTCTGGGTTCCATTTACCCCGGCTTGGTCAATTGCGGGTCGGAGCCGTGATGGGCGCCACAACAGAGCTAAAGTTCTGGATGAATCACCTGTAGAAGTTTGCAAAAACTAGAAAGCATTGAATTTGCTTTAAATTGCGAGGCATTGGCCAGTCATTGATAGCAGCGACCATCTCCACTCCAAGGAGAGAAATAATGTAGCCCAGAAAGTGAATCTTAGAAGCATGAAAAAACGCACTTCTCAAGCTTGGCGTAGAGCTTGTTGTCAGTGAGTCTGGACAAGACCTCCTGGACGTGACATACATGTTCCTCAGGGTTGGCGGAAAAAAAAAAAAAAAGGATATCGTCCAAGTATACCAAAACAATTTCCAATAATATCCCTAAAGATGTCATTCATGAAGGATTGGAAGACCACCAGGGCATTAATGAGTCCAAAAGGCATAACCTGATATTCATAATGCCCGTGCGTGGTCATAAAGGCCGTCTTCCACTCGTCCCCTTCGCGTATCCTGATTAAGTTATAAGTCCCCCCCCATATCTAAATTTTGAGAAGATGGATGCTCCGCATAAGAACTCCAGAGCGGCTGGGATTACAGGCAAGAGGTAGCGATGTTTGACTATAATGGAGTTCAGCCCTCTGTAGTCAATACACAGCCATAAGGAGCCATCCTTCTTCCCTGTGAAGAAAAACCCAGCACAGGCTGGAGATGTGATCCATCCACAGCTTGAATGCAGACGGGGGCGAGAGGAATATCCCACTTCTTCGCAAAAGTGGCATCTACAAAGTTCCCCGCTGCCCCCGAGTCAACCAAAACCGAAAGGGGAAGGTGAACATCCATCCATGAAATCTCAGACGGGAATAAAGCCCCAGACGAGGATTGTGAAATAAACAGCACTACAAACTCTAACAGTAAGCTGTGGGAGGGTTCGAGATGGATACGGGGATCTTGAAGGACAAACGGAGAGAAGGTTTATCCGAAGCGCCGCAGTACAGACAGTCCCTCCCGACGACACCTTTCCTTTTCCTCCAAGGACAGGGGTGCATGTGGCAGGGTGGGCACCAAGGGGAGAGGGCCCATGGGATGCACAGGTCTGCTTCCTGGGTGCCTCTCTGCTCTTTGAAGCCAATTCAACCACCTGAGCAATCGCCACCTCTAGAGACCGAGTGTGTAGTGGCATGAGCACTGGGTGGTCCTTCAGTACCTCCAAGAGACCTTTAGAGAAAAGGCAAACCAAAGCTTTGGGGTTCCAGGCAGACTCTGTGGCGAGGGTTTGGAATTCTGCCACAATCTTGCAGTGGTCTGTCGCCCTAGTGAAGCGAGGACAGCCGAAGGAGAGTCAAGTCCGGGTTGCTTTGAGAAAAACGCGCCCAGGGACGCCCTAGTGAAGCGAGGACAGCCGAAGGAGAGTCAAGTCCGGGTTGCTTTGAGAAAAACGCGCCCAGGAACGGTCTGCAAAAAGCTGAGAGTCAGAACTGCGGATCTCCCCTAGCAAGCAACACCGCTGCCCAATCCAATGCTATGCCTGTGAGCAAGGAAAGGGCGAGTCCGATCTGCTCCCAGGGAGTAGAAAAACCGCTCAGTCTGCAGCTGGAAAGCCAGGGAGCATTGAGCAATAAAACCCCAGCAGCCTGCAGAGTTGCTGTCATACTTTTGAAGTTGAGGGAGTGGTGGGCGGGGCCGCGGGGGTCGGAGCAGGTGCTTATACAAAAAGCTTAGCAGGAATCGGTACGGGTGCCGGCGAAAATGGGGGAGACGAAAGCCAGGCGACGTGGTTAGCGAGCTGTTGGAGTGAAGATTGAAGCTGGGTGAAAGCTTGGGAAGGGTGATAGAAAAGAGAACGAAAGGCTTGAGCGTCAGCGGGATCCATCTTGCAGGTTCGGTATTCTGTCAGGAATCACTAATGAAGAGATATGTGGATCCTGTGCAGACGCAGGAGTAGGTAGATGACGAGGCAGGTGAACAGTCCAATACATAAGGCGAGTTCGTGGTCCAAAGGAAAAAGGTGATTCAGGATCCAGGAAGTACGATGAAGCAAACAATCCGAAACAAGAGGCGAGGTCGTGGTCAAAAGGAGTAAGGTAGGTCGAAATCTGGGAAGTACACTGGTGGCAAACAATCCGAGACGAGAGGCGAGGTCCAAAGTCGAAAGGCAAAAGGGAAGTCCAGAGTCCAGAATAATACGAGGTAGAACTCTCAACGAGTAGACTCAATACCGACAATCCAGAATAGTACGCGGTAGAGCTCTCAACAAGTAGATTCAATACCGGCAAGCGGGTTAGGATGGTTTAAATAGTGTTTAAGTAGAGCGTGTGCTGATGGATTAACACGTGCGGCGGCGTTTGTTATTATTAACCCGCTGCTGGTACTGGTTAGTTCTTTTGTGAGATGGTCTCCGCTGGCTGGTGGTCGTGACACAGAAGAGTTTCTTGGACACACGTGCCTGTTAATCTGTAAGGAGGGCTAAAACACAAGTATGCCAGAAACTTGCACAGCTGGAGATTTAAAAGCAGATCTTACACAAGACATTTACATGAACTGTGTAACTATACATTTGCAAAACAAGAATAAATATAAGGGAAGATGTATTTGAGTGCGTGTTCAAATTTGGTATGCATTTCTACTATTAAAGGATAATGTACATGCTAATTTAGTTGTAGATAATTGTATCTACAATTATGCCTTGTAAATTATTAAACTATTCCAGAGCCGTGTGTAATGAATGGATGAATAAAAAGATCCTCCTTGTATTTCATTGAACTTTCAAATGTCTTGGCTTTCTCAGAGAATCGATAATTATCATTAATTATTTTAATGAAGATGTACTGCAAGCTTGAGTGATTATTTTCTTGGTTCCCTAAGGAGCTGTGCATCCTTGATGTATTTTAATCCTGTGTGATATAGGGTATCCTTGAATTCCACAGTCACAGGAACCTAGCTTTTGAGTTAACGGTTTTAATTGGTGTGACTGGAAGAACTGGTTACGCCATCTGGTTCAATCTGGCACACGCACAAGCAGGCCGACACGCACACAGAATGTGCGTACAGTTTCTGAGAAGGTCCATTGTGAAACAGTTCCTGGTTACCAAAGACAGAACTTGTGTTAACGCACTCACTTGCCAACTCTACAACAGGGTTCTGTGACAATGAGAAACAATAATCTCTCTAGATATTAAATCTCACTTATCACTGGTGAAGACGCGGGCTCATTTCCTTTGTGCCCATATGAACTGACAAATAAATTGCTTTACAGAAATTTCCTAGAAATACATCTTGTAGCTAAGCAGTTTGTCCATCCTGCCTTTTGATGAATTTTTAGAGTTTAAAGCACTGGAAGGAAGAGACCAATAGAATCTAAAGAAAAAGGAGATGTTTGGTTATTTTCAGCACTAGAAGTGAGTGTTTCTGATAGTTATTGTGTTGTGTAGGTTTGTGGCAGTGTTTGAGGAAGTTGGCTTTACCCCTTTCTGGCCCTGCTGGCTTTGTGTTTTATTTCTCTTTTGTTTCTGAGCACACCTGCTAGAAATGTGAAATCCCTGTGTTTGTTTCAGGGCTGCTGAAGGAGACGGTGAGTTTTTCGAACGAATGAAAAGCATTCTTCAAAAGCAGGAAAACATGCAGCGGTCCTCCCACACTGAGGTTTGTTATCAAACACTGTTTTTCCAGCTTTTTGATGGTGCTAATGGAGGGTCTCAATCTCTGTTTCTGTTTATGTAGCATAGACACACAGTTATTTAATATCACATTGATTGATCCTTTTTTACTGCTAGAAGTACACCAGAGACTGAGCATAAACTTGTTCATTCTAAAATTCTAAATTCTTTCTTGAATGGGTAAGTTAGGTCTCAGTAAAGTCTTACTTTTTCAATTTTTTCTAAATGATTCCTTTGTTAAAGAGCTTTAGAGGTCATCAGAATACAGGTTGAAAAATAGGATGTTTGTCCCACCTTATTTATTTGGTTGTAAGGAGTTCAATGAGCTTAGGCGTTCAATTGATCTAAAAGAGATACATGTTCCTGTTCACACCTGGAGTGTTTCTCAACAGTTTCTAATTTTAATGGTTGCGACATACAGTACTGACATTAAAAATAAAGGTAGTGTGCACACATGGATAGTAGCATTTTTTTTATCTGGAAACATGACCCAGAATTGTAAGCAGTTGTTTCCAATTGTGTAGTTGCCTTTTTAACTTGTAAAAGTTGTGCCTTTGAATAATGTCTACCAGAGATTTGAAGGCAGAGCTAGCTGTGGGCTAGGAGGCTAATCAATGTGCAGATTTGTCTATATCTTCTGAAGCAGGAGGTCGGGGCTTGAGGTAACTAATATAAGAAAGCCCTGTGTCAGAGGGTTCAGGATCAGCTTGCAAGCAGTTGTCAGCTACTCTGATTAGAGCAACAGCATGATCAAGGGCATACAGCAGTGAAACTGTCTCAGTGTTTCCTTCAGGGAAATACTGTAGTTCTTGCTTTCTGCAGAAGGTGGGTCATATTACAGCGATAGAAAAACAGGATCTGTAATGCAATACCTACTTATTTATTCATTTTTTAAAGAAGAAAATCAAATGACATATCAAATAACATTGACATACTACAAAAACATCTTAGGTACGGGATTTTTTAATAAAACTCAGTCTTTTTCCCATTTACTGCAGTTTTCCCTTACTTTCAGTTGTGGTTTCCTGTGGGTTTAAAGTGCCTTTAGCATTTTTTGATAGTTGTCTTACAAACCATGCAGATTGCACTGTCAATGTATTTATTCAACATTTATTTAATTTATGGAAGTTTATTTTAATGAACAGATGCATCACATTCTCACAATATCATGCACATCCACCAGAGAAGTTCGGACCTTTCTGCAGTCATTCTTTTTATCTGCACACAACACCGAATTTTCCCAGTACAGTGTCAAAACTGCTTTATGCAGAAAATACTAATTAGTTTCCCAGAAGCTTATTTTTTTCTTTTGTTTTTGATATTTATTGTGTCCAAACCTTAGCTGCATGGTGCTGTAGACTAATCGACTGAAGACTGTTCTCTTAAACTCTCTGAGTTTAAATGCTCAAACTCTTATTCTAAATATCTGTTACATATTTATTCTTTGTAAGCCACCTCCAGCTTGATAGTTATTTAACCTTTTATTCATGTTCTCTCACTGTGACTTTATTGGGTCAAAAATTTCAGTTTCGTCCTTGCTCATTCAAGTAATTTCAGACGCAGTAAAAAATAAGAAGAGCTTTTTTGGGGGATAATTTCCAGTAACTCTCTTAATATGCTAATTTGTCTCTGAATGCCACTGAAGCTGATATTTAGATGTCAGAGCAATTGGCTGGTTAAATGCGAATGAAGGTGTTTTGACAACGCAGGGATCAGTTTCTTTGCTGACTGCTCTTCACCTGAGGTTCTTCTGTTCAGCAGGGCCTCGTCGAAAGTGGGGCTCCCCCTCCCCCAGAGACCACAGGCCAGACCAGTGTCACAGAGAGGCCAGCGCTGACCAGGAGAGAGGTGAGCCTGTTGGGTCTTAGCAGAGCTGTAAACCTGGTATTACTATAATAATGCAGAGCACATTAGATGTTTTAAGACATGAGGCAGATTCATGGTTAATGGGGTGTACTAATAAACCTTGTTGTGTTTCTACTTTCTCTTTAAGGAGAACAGTATCTGTCTCATGTTAATTACAAGTTAATTTGGCTGGGCCATCTCAGTCTGGCTCTCAGCCAGCAGCCTCCCACTTCATCATACGGTGAACTGCAGGAGGGCTGGACTGCACAGTGACCTCCCGTACTCCTAAGGAGGATGAAGCAATTTAGAGCCAGCTAACCCTCTCCCAGCCAGTCCATCTATATCAGCTCCTCTAGAGATTCAGCAACACCTTTTTGAGCATTTTGAGCACAGGCAGTTTCTCACTTTATGTAGGCATATGAACATGAGATATCCATAGTGGTGCTCTTGTCCCGGAGAAGCATACAGTAAAACAAAACAGCCATCACCAGAACAACACACTGGAAGTCCAGGTCATCTTGCCCTTTGCCTTATTTAATAGAATGAAACATAATTAATCAGAGCGGACCTTGATCTGTCAATACCCAATATATCCCTTTACCTTCCACAGTAGAAAGCTGAAGTCTAAAACTTTCAGTTGTTGTAGTTCAGTACATATTTTGTAATCAAACTGATTACAAAATCAGCTCCTTTTACAATCTGCCAGTAACTTGAACAGTGCATTTGTACATTACCCATGAGCTGATGTTCCAGGGGAGCGCCATGGCAAACTGGTGTCTATCCCAGAATGCATAGGGTGCATGTCACTCTCCCTGGAAGCAACGTCTGTCCATCACACGGCCATGGAGCAAAAAAGAATCTGAGTAGCCAATCAAACCTAGACAGTGTGTCAGTTCCATGTGGGAGGAAACTGGAGCACCTGGCAAAAGCTCCCTAGGAACATGCATTCCTCACACAGATGGACATTCCAGCCCAGAATCCAAAATTCTGTATCTTTCTTGGACAGGGAAGTTAAATCTCATTAAATACTTATTTTTTCCTAAATGACTCCTTGATGAAAGAGCTTTAGAAAGCATAAGAAGTAAGATTTGTCCTGGAATAATTTAAGACTTGAATCTGATTCAGCAATAGAAAGAAAATGGAAAGACAACAATAAATGTTGAAAAAGAGACATGGTAGTTTATTCCGCCTCATTAGTTTGGTGGTTAGAAGCCTTGTGTTTCTAGACCACAGCAGCACTGTGATGCACAGCTACAAACACATCTGTGAACCCTGTCTTCCCTGCAGCTGGACCTTCTCTACGAAGAGGTGGTCTACACTGTGGTGAACCGGGTGGGCGTGCCTACCCCTGACTATGTTAACAACGAGGGAGAGCTCTTCGCTTACCTACAGAAGGTATTCTCACTTACAGTCATGGGGGTCATTTCTACCATTGCTCTCGTGGTAATAAAAAATAAAAAATTAAAACTGTTTTAATTTTTACAAACTGCTTTTTACATAGCAAAAGATTTGTCATTACTTTTTGGTAATTACTGTAGTGTTATTTGGTATTAGGTAAAGAATACACGTAATGCTTTATACTGTATAGAACATTTTTAATTAAAAAAATTGGAAAACATTTAAAATACTTGGTGAAGTGAGACTCTAATAATACTCGAAAACTTGAGCCTACAGATCAAAAGCAGCACACTCTTCAAAACAACATTCATCCCAGATAAAACCTAAAACCTTTGTAAGACTAGGAAAAAGAATTTTCTTGCCTTAAATGCATGTGCAGCATCAGTCTTCTCCCTCTGTTAGTCTGTGATCTTGAAAGTGACTCAGTTCAATGCTGAGGTTCAAATGTCTGTTCCCCTTCCAGGACAAAGATAAAATTCAATCTTCTGCTGACATTCATTCCAGTTGGGCCCTTGATTTGGTGCCAATATTTGCTTTCTTTAAAAACATTTTCTCTGCTCAGGATTTGGTTCCAAAATATCCAAAAGTATTTTATTGCCAACAACATCATCACACAGAAATGTACACAGTCTCTACTCAACATTCCTAATTAATTTACCACATGATTTCTCACAGAACAGCTCTTAACAACATACCAGCTAACAAAGAACACACCTAGGTGGGGAATTACACTGCATCAGACACGCCCACAGTGAGTGTTTTCCTTCTGTTTAACTCCAATTGGTCACATTTCTCAAGCTACCACACTTGTAGGAGGGCAGTTCTAAAACTCACTAATTAATACATGCTTCATACCAATTACAAAGCCCGTTCACCTTTTTAAGAGCTGAAAGCTAATGTCACAATCGGCCTCAACTAGAAAATCAATTTTGCCTGTTTCTAAATCAATTTAGCCTGTGATTAAGAACAGAAACCAAAAGAAAAGAACCGAGGATTACACCAAGGAAAGGAAATTTGCAGTTTTTGAATCCATGGGTCAAAGTTTTGGCTTGAACTAAGGTGTTCACTCCATATTAACTGTTGAAAGCAGAGTTTTTTCTTCTTAATATGGGTAACCTTCAAAGCCTTGACGGTATTTGCTCTACAATAGAAATAGTGGAGTAGATTAAGGGCCTGTCAGTCTTCGCTGTGTTTGGGGGTGGTGCTGTCTCCTTTTTTTTGAGCTCCCTCTGACGCAGACAACACCCTTTGGTGCTTTTGATGTAGCTTCTCGGTCTGAATTGCTCATCTCCAGCTCGTTCCAGGGCTCTCCTGGTGGGAGGTGAAGCTGGCAATCTCGAAGGTGACCTGGAGTGTTTTTACTCATTAGTTCAGACCCAAGACACAAGTCACCTGGAGATGCTAAAAATAGATTGTCAGTGAGATTCACCAAAGCTAAGATAGTGAAGGGTTTTGATATGGCACTTACAGTAAAACAGAGAGAAATTCTTGTGGGCTTTGAACCCGGACTCTCAGTTTCTGTTTCACACAAGGAGTGCAGCAATTGTCCCCCCCCAAAGAACAGAAGGCTGCCCTATAATCCTCTCCTCATGGAAGCTGCGTTCGTTTCATCGAAGTTTGTGATTTTAATGGCTGCTTCTATTTCCCCCAGGTGTTCGACATTGGCTCAGAGGAGCATGACATCATTCTCCAGAGGGTCAGAGAATCCAAGGTGGGAGACATTTTCTTCTGTTTTTTTTGCTTTTGCTTTTGTCAAACGTTTTTCAACTGTGTTGAAAACTGCGTATCTCCCAGATATCTCTTTTCCACCTGACTGGTGCCTCAGGCTCCCCACAGAAAGGTTTGATCGTGACGTGCGGACTGATGGAGGGAACCTACATGTACAGGAGAGTGTGCTTCTTTACACAAGGGGTGGTGGGATGTTGGAACAAGCCTTGTTACATCCCCTGGCTGGCTTCTTTTTAGAAAACGCTAGATGAGAGGTTCTGATCCATTAGACATTAACTAACGAACTGTAGATGGGCCGAACAGCTCCTCTCCTTTGTTACCTGTCTTATTTTCTTCTTAAGTAACAGAGAATCTGTTTTATTTAGTGTGTGAGGGGTCTGAAAAGGTCAATGTCTTACATACAAGGAAACATCAGAGATCATTGCTGCTACAATCAAGACAGAGTAGTTGTTGTGCTACTTACATTCCTCAGGAATGCAATCATAATTCAGCACCTTTAATATAATCTGTCTTCAAGACACGAAGAATTAAAAACCAATCTGGACTTTGGACTTGGATGTCGGAACATTCTGAATCACACTAACCACTGTGGGCAAAGGTCATCCTTCACACTGAGAACTTTGATAAATATTTGCTTCTGTTTTCCTTGCTGTTTGTTGAGATTGGTTGTGACGTTTACCTGATCAATTAAGGTGGATGATGGCTTGATGTGATTGTATTTTCTTTCACTTGTATGACAGGACCTGTCCGGCTTGTGCGTGCCCCACTAAAAAAGCCTCCAATCTGTTATCAGGGCGTCTTTTAAAATCAAAAGAAAAGATCTGACACCTCAGTGCCTTTAAATGTTCCACATAAGACCTTTGATCCTCATCCAAAACTCCTGTGGTTCTCTGCAGAAGCAACAAATAAAATTCAGAGCTGAAACTTAGCTCTGAGAAAGCCGCACGAGACAGGTCTTCCTTCACTGTCAAAAGTTCCAGACGTAGCTTTGTTTTAATTTAGAATTACAAATAAAGTTCACCTGATATATTTGTTTCTTTTAAAAAATCAGATATTAAAAGGGAAAATGCACTTTCCCCTGATCTTCAGTAATTGATGATTGTTTTCAGCAAAAGGAAAAAAATAACCCACAACCTCTTAGAGCATATTGTTCAATAGTTTCATGTTTCCTTGCCTGAATAGATTCTTTCCTCGGTCAGAATGAAATATACCAATAGAAAATGTTGAGAAATGCTTTAAAATCCCTTCTATACTCTCCAGCAACACTTACGTTGTGTGTACTCCTTTTCATTCCAGCGAGCCAGTTACGCACTGAAAGTTTCTGTGATGAAAGGCAAAAATCTTCTGGCTAAAGATGCCAATGGTGAGTCAGGTGCTCTTCTTACTTCTGCGCTATGGACACGCTGACTGGAAGTTTTTCTTTCACTGCTGTAAGAACATCAGAGTTTTCACAGGTTAAAGACAAGCTCAAGGCTCCTGTGTGGCTCCACCAGTTTTTCAGAGACCTTGACAGTTCACGCTTGGTCTGTGTTATTTGCCAGCTGTGTCTACGACTCCGCAAGCGACAGCGTGCAGTTTGCAGAGCGCTGCTGGGGTGGTGTTGGCTTGAGATGAGTTCAGTATCCTCAGCTGGCAAAGCTACACTACCCCTGTAGCGTTCTGGGCACCTCTGAGCCCACGGTTTTGCCAGTGAGAGCTGCAGGACCCCTCCAGCTGAGGGCACTGAGGGACTCGCAGCTCACTTGTAGCAGAAAACTGCAATTAAGTATTTTTTATTTCAAATTGTGTAACATTTGAAAATAAAGTAAAGCAATCGTAATTTAAGAAGAGGCATATGTTTTGCACATGTAGAACACAGAGCCCTGTAGAAATCTGCTTCCTCCTAGTTTCTTTTATCACTCCACCGTTTTGTGAGTGGTCTAGCCCTCATGTATATTCAGGCTCTACAAAAAGCCTTGCAGTAGTCTTGAATTTTAAAGGTTTTGAGGTCAGTACAATCCGATCATGGATGCTGTTCACTGTCTGCTATTACAGTTTGAATCTCACAGTGTGAACGATGTATGACAGGTTTTGTATATTGACATGTGATTATTAATATTTGCTATCAGGATGCAAATTGGCAGCATTCCAAGACCTGGACTTAGGCTATACTTTTATCTGATCTTCCTTGAGCAGAAGCTTGGTTATACAGGTACAGTAATTAACTCCAGCATTAAGGTTAATAATGAGGTTATGTTCTCAGAATGGAAACCTGTTACCTTGTCATGTTATTTGCACCAATGTCTCATTTAGGAATGTCTTGGATTGACCTCAGCTACAGGTAAAACAATGGGACACCTTGCTGCAATCGAGTTTCAGAAGTTGCAAGTATTGATTTCACCTTAAGAAGAAACAGTTTTTTTTTAATTGATACCCTCCTGCATTCTAGATTGGAAAAGATCACCCGATTCTTGCCTAAATCTGAGATCCCTGCCTTTGCTTGCAGGCTACAGCGATCCTTACTGCATGCTTGGGATCCTCCTGGGTCAGAGTCCCAAGGAGCCAGAAGAGAAGAAAGAGAGGAAGTTCAGCTTTCGCAAGAAGAAGGACAAGATTGAGAAACGCTCCAGCGTCAGGGAGGTCCTCCCTGCCAAGTACATCCAGGTCACAGAGGTCAAACCGCAAACTCTCAACCCTGTGTGGAATGAGCATTTCGTTTTGTAAGTAGTTACAGTAATTTAATTCATTCTAACTGTGTGCCAAACAAATGTAAATTAAGCAACCTCTGCTCCTTCCCTTTTTAAATTCACAACCTTTGAAGTTGAGTAATTTGTAATTTGTAATTATTTGCATACTATTTTGTACTTCCTTTTAAAGACATAAAAAGGTATATTCAAAACAGTAAGATGAGATTACATTATGTCATGTAGAGCTTCAATAAATAACCTCTTTAATGGATTTTGCAGTGAGATTGATGACATCTACAGTGACCTGCTCCATCTGGACATATGGTAAGACACTGGACTTTCCTTCAGTTTGAGATTCAGTTGGATTAAATGATTTGTCATTGCTGCACCCATGCCAAAGCAGAGCAGTTTCTGAGGCAAAACCTCATTCTGTGTGAGTCATATTGGCCATTCCATTTGCTTTGATAAAAAAGCCAAGATTGTGTGCCCAGAAAGATTAAAACAAGTTTTGAAACAAATGTCAAGTGCAACTGCTATTCAAAAAATATACTTTTGTTACATTAGCCCACACATTTACAAGCACAAATGTGAATAACCAATAACCTGCCCTGCTGTTGTCTTCCTAGGGATCATGATGATGATGTCTCAGTGGCAGAAGCCTGCAAAAAGCTCAATGAAGTCAGTGGTTTTAAAGGCATGGGCAGGTGGGTGTGGTTATGGGACAGGTGGGTGTGACTGTAGGGCACGTGGGTGTGGTTTCACTGCAGATTTGTGTGGTTGTGGGACAGGTAGGTGTGGCTATAGGGTAGTGTGATTTGTTTGTGGGATAGGTAGGTGTGACTGTGGGGCAGATCAGATCAGATTGATCTGGCCATATATAATTTTTTGTATTAGGAATTTGTCTTTTTGCATACCCCAGCTCTCCGTGAGACACACAGACAGGGAGAGAAGCTTGGTGTCAGAGCGCAGGGTCAGCCATTTATATGGCACCCCTGGAGCAGTTTTGGTTATCTGCCTTGCTCTGGGGCCCAACAGAGTAGGATTCCTCTGCCGGCTGTGGGACATGAACCAGCAACCTTCCAGCCACAGGCCACCGCCCCCCCCCTTTTATAAGATCAGATGGGTGTGGCTATAGGGCAGCTGGGTGTGGTTGTAAGACAGAGAGATATGACTGTGGGACAGGTGGGTGTAGCACCAGGACACATAATTGTAACTATAGGACAGGTTCATGCAACACCAGAAAAAACACCAGACTCCCATCTCCTTTAGTCAAAGAACAAAACTGATTTGAAATTCAATGCCCTTTGTATCAGGTTACAATAACAAGAATTCTATATTCCTTCTAGTTCTTATTGTTTCTGTTCTATTATAGAGTCACAAAAGCAATGTGGCTGGTATAGTGGTAGGTCTTTAACTTAGGCATTATAGTTACATTATTGAAGAATTCTGCCCAACCTAAAGCATTTTTTAAAATCGTTACATTGCCGCGCAGGTATTTCAAGCAGATTGCCAAATCTGTGAGGACCAATGGCACAGCAGGGTCTGTAGAGGAAAATGTGGATGACTTCCTTGGCTGCCTGAATATTCCCATCGGTGTAAGTACAGAGAAAGGGGATGAAAACCATTATTAACCAAAGACGTTATTTTTTCAGTGCAGAAATGCTGTCCATTGAAAGCCGTTAACTGTGCACAAGTAGGATGAAGTATTGGTGAACCTTGTTAAAAACTAAAAACTGAATAGTAGTAGTCCCTTTTCACTGTTCACTAATAATGAAAGGTTTTTTTCTTGGTTATCAAAATCTTGTAATCCCATGCCATACAGGTAGATGTATCCAATGGCAAGTCATTATTCTTAGTCCCTATTTCATTGCTATGGTAAAGTGCAAAAAAAGTAAAATCAAGGTGAAAGCACGGTAAAACGTAGAGAGGTGCCTTAAAGTGCAGTACAAACCTCTGGAAAGTGGCAGATGAAGTAGATGTCTGGCACAGGTATGGTGAAACTGAGGGACACCGCTTTCTGAAATGACCGTGAAATGACTCCTAGAAGGAGTCTGAAACTATGCAGTGAGTGGTAATTTGCGGGTTCGAGCACACGTGATCTGACGCAGTCTTGTTTCGCCTGCCTCTGAAGGAGATCCCTGTGGATGGTTTGGACAAGTGGTTCAAGCTAGAGCCCCGATCCAGCACGTCCAAGGTGCAGGGGGAGTGTCACCTGGTCCTCAAGCTGGTCACCACACAGGTACACCCCCTCTCTCACAGCACCAGGGGCGCAGCTGAGGGGACGGCAGGGGGTGGGGGGTGGGGGTTGAAGTGCTTTGATCAGTGAGATTGATCAGGTTTCTTTGATCAGTTTGTTCAGATCATTGAGAATCTAGAGAAAAACCTTCTCTGTCTGGAAAAACAAATCTTTATTCAACCGGAATCACAGTTCTGACATTGCTCTGTTGAACTAAAATCCTTTTTCTTTCACAATCCAGGCTTACAGCAGCTAGTATACAGTTATCAAAATCATAGATGCAGAAATTTGTTTAAGATCAGTGGAGAGCTGCACTTTGGATTTTTCTTTTGAATTGTTTCGATGCTATTTGTTGGTCTCTCTCCCTCAGAGGGACACGGTCTTGAGTAAGAAAGACTCGTATGCAAAAGTTCATGAGAAGCTCCTCCGTCAGATCCTGGAGTATGAACACGCTCAGGTGAAGGTAAATTGGCTGATTTCATAGCTGGATTTTGTATTCCCCTCATTGTGGACTAGAGGATTTTATTGCTATTTGTACATGTACATTAGAATTCGTTTTCATGCCAATCTCTCAGGATGCACACAGTACAGCAGATGACACAGTACAACAGACATCACCACACAATGTAGACAGTACAGTACAAAATGATAGATAATAAATAGTGACAACCAGTAATAATAAATATTTTGTAGAGAACAACAAATGTGGTAGTGAAAAAAAAACATAGTAGTCCGTGCATTGAGTTCTGAGGCACTACTTTATTAGCTGTTGAGGATCCGTACTGTCGTAAGGCACAAGCTGTTCTGAAGCCTAGTGGTCCGAGTTTAACTACACTTACTGTAGTGCGCTACTGCTTGCCAGAGCGCAGGGGAGAGAACAGTTTGTGGGCAGGATGCTGGATTGGCCTTACCAACTGACTGTTGGTAAATCACATCCTATAGTCCTCTCTGCCGTTGCCACAGCCCTTTGCAGTGCATCTTTGCCATGGGCAGCTGCTGTGGGTTAAGAAAAGGAAGAAGGTTACAAAGGAGAGGAGATCATTCGGCCACTCTAACCCATTTGGTAGTTAGTAGTTAATTGACCCAAGGAACTCATCCTGCTGTTTCTTGTAATACGCCAGGGTGTCAGTTTCAACAATATGGCTGGGTAGCTTGTTTCACACTCCCACAGCCCTGTGGGTAAAGATTTTCCTCCTGTTCTCTGTTTAAAATGCACTTCCACTTTGTTTAGTGCCCACTGTTTAATGTTTCAGTGAATCTTGACAAGTTGCAATCTCCTATTATAAGGAGTTGGAGGAGAGGGTGCCTTTCTCGTAAATTTCAATATACTGGTGTCTTGGATTGTAATGATCCTGTTTCACTTTTAGAGCCTTTGTATTAGAGGTATAAGAAGCAGTAGGTTTTAGTCTTCCTGTTCTGTGATCATCTGTGATCCTGCAGCAACCTCACTGAGAGGCGCATCTCCTCCAGGTGTTGCTAACTCTCCTGCAAGGAGATGGATGCATGTCAGAAGACAGATGACCACCAGGTGGGCGTGTCGGAGATGGGGTTACACAGCTCTTTCAACTCCCCTTGTAGTATAGGGGCTGTAGCTGTAGACCGATCTGACAAAACACCTGATGAATTCAAATTGAAATAAACTACAGACAGGGTGATTTAAAGCTCGGATAGCATTTACAGTATAATGTGAGCAATATAATCTTAGGAGCAATGATTGTCTTGAATACAAAAGAAAAGATAGTAATGAGTCCAAGTTTGAAGGGGATCTTTGCCTTTCCTTCTAGACAGAATCCTACAACTGGAATGGGAAGCTGAGTCAGCCAGCCTGGACTGTGGTATCCCATCATGCCGTGCAGACTGACTTGTCACCACTGCAGAGGGCCATAATGTAAGTTTCTAGTGACAGTCTAATAAAAGCAATATTCCATATTATTATTATTTTTGATCTGTACAGCATTCTTTGGTTTTTCTTCATTTTGCTATTGATGTTGGTGTTTCCTGTTCCACTAATCAATTCGAAGAGAAAAAGTGTTTGACCATTTTAAATAAGGCACACAGTAGGCATGTACTGTATACACAAATTCCCAAATCCAAAGTAAAACCATCTTCATTTGGCTTAAAAGATTTTCTACCATGCAGAGTTTATCAAAAGTCCTAAGACAATTGTTACTAATATCACAAACTCCAAAAGAAACTTATAGAGATTGATGACAGAGACTGTTTAGCATTCACAGGACACATTTACAGAAACTATTTTTAGGAATGAACTAGTGCAGACTTAGCATGATGGGAAATGGTTTCTAAGTGTCTTTCCTAGTGTTTTAAAGCTTGTCATAGCTTTGTTTTGTCTGACTCTTGATTTCTAAAACCAAATCCATTTATATGTGCATAACTGAAACAGGAATATAATATGAACTTTCTGTTCCTCTCACATTTACATTAAAAGCCATTGAATAGGCTTATTCATTCAAATCTTTGTGGTGTCATGAAGATACACTTTGTTGCAACAGCACTCTGGACCCTTAGAAAGAGAGATATGTAAATATGCCCCTTTATTATCCCAACTGACTATTATAAAATAATATTTGAAGATTGAGGAGTGTAATGTGATATTATTTTTCCTGAATTCCCTGTCAGAAATCTAATATTAATCTGATCAGGACGGACATTGCCTGCCCTGTAGGACACTTTTCAGATTAATATGGAGCACCATGTACTTTTCAGCAAGTACAGGTATCCAGTAAATTACTATCACCATCCCCTGCAGTTCTCCTTCACATGATATCTCTAGATCTCACAGCTGAAATAACACTTTGTTGTCTTTTCATGAGAGATATATGTTTGCACTAGGTCAGCTTGTTCTGGGTTTATTTTAATTTCTGATTTGTGGCCAATGCTCTGTTTCTCTTATTCAAGGCTTAAAACGGCACCTGATCTTTCAGGTTTTTTTGCCTCAGAAAAGCATTGAATCTTGTTTTGGAGGTAAAGCAATTGTTCGCTGTTGTGACGACTGCAAAGATTCAGAGGGAGCGGTGAACGAGGAAAGCTAGGACTGGAGTCATTTGAATCAGTACCGGACAGTTTTTTTTGGTGGGATTGCTGGTTTGACCCTGGGTCACATCCTTCCCTGACCACTCCTGACTCCTCCTCCAGGGTATCTTCCTCTGTTGGCAACAGTGACATGTGGGCAATGATCTTCCTCCTTGAGAGACCCTCAGTTCCAGTTCAGTGTGGCAATCACACCCTGTCAGCGCTGTCGGAAGAGATCACACTGTCGGAAGAGATCACACACGGTTCTCCCCTCACTCCCTGCTGGTACTGGTGGAGCGGGGGGCTGACAGATTGAGTGTGAAATGAAGATTAATTGGTGATTTCATGGTTAAAGAAATACTGTGAGAGCCAGGCACACATGGGACCTCCCATGCCAATAGATTCATTGTGCCACTGTTCTGGAAGAGGGAGTTGCTAACATTTCTACTGCTTATTGGTGACGCTGGCACCTGTAACCCTGTACTGCAGGTTTTCTGTGTGTGTGAGCCACATGCACACCGCTGCAGAGCTCTGCCGGTCCCTGTGTTGAGCCAGTTTCGTGTTGTCTCCTCTCCTGCAGATGGTGGCAGTGCTACAGCAAACATCACCAGGCCCACACCATGGACTACTCCTTCCTGCTGGAGCTCCTGAGGCAGGTCGAGGAGGCCTGGGATGCTGCTTCTCTGCAGACGGAGCTGGTAGGCCCAGGTGTCCCTCACCTCCTTGGTGAAGTTATGCAGGGTCTTTGGATATTTCACTGGATATTCGCATTTGATTTCCTTGGCTCAGATTCAAGATGTGCTGTAGAGCAGAGGTTCTCAGTTCAGGCACTTTCACTGCTGAGGCTAATTAAAGGGAGATGGGATCGTTCAAATTTTTTAAATTGCTTCTGCTCTGATTGTCAAAAAATGTAATGCACAGAACCCTGTTCAGTCTGTCCTTAACTTGTTAGCTTGTTGTTCACCCTTATCTGTCCAGGCATGAAGTAAAAGGTCAGAGATTACAGTCTGCAGACAAACAGGATTTAGACAATTAATTATTTATGCTTTCTATGAGCTCAATGCTTGCATTTCAGATACCTAGATGAATAATGTTCTCATACTTGATCAATTCCTAAGTACATCTGCTGATAACACACAAACAGGGGTCTTATCAAAATATTAGATCAGTTAAGCATTTTAATCAGCATAGTCAAGAGCTTAGTTAGGGAAAAAAATACTCTGGAGGAAACCAGTGCTGTGATGTTCCTGTGAGTTCGTGGACACATAGTCATAACTGATAAATAATGTAGCATAAATCCAGATCACAACAGATAAAACCAGCTATGCATCTTAATGATACCAATTGCTTTTGTTTCATGTCCCTTTCATTTGTTGCTTAAGAACACAGAAAGGTTAAAAAAGAACATAAGAATTTAATAAGGGACTACAAATGAGAAAAAGCCTTTCAACCCATCTGACCTGTTTGGTGGTTAGTAGTTAATTGATCTGAGGACCTCATTCAGCTGTGTCTAGAAAGAAGCCAGAGTATCAGTTTCAACAGCATGACTGGGTACCTTGTTCCATGCTGAGGCTTTAATAAAATTTAAAAAAATCAATCCTCCTAGGCAAAGTCTTCTCGACAGGTCGTAGTCCTATTCAACTGGATTATTCACTAAAAAAATGAGTCACAGTAGGGTATTTTTTTTCTATATGAGCTGTGAATGATAAAATCTTCCCTAAAGCACTTATCTACAGTCGTGAAAAGTGTCTGCTGTGTCTTCTGGGGTCTGTAGGACCCAAATGAATATATAAAGTTTATTTCTTCTATACAGTCTAGCAGCCTGTTGGCTGAGCAGCCAGGGACATATTACAGTATACAGCACTTCATTTTCTGAGAGCTATACATTTTTTCAGTTCTATTGAGTTTTACTGCGGAGATTTCTTTTAGCAGTGTTGTTCTAAAAACAGTGTTGCACTAAAAGATCCAGGATCCAGGCTTGGTCGTGATCTGTTCTACTCAAGACTTGGACTAGCAATAAGGTTACATGTTCTGCTATCTGCAGTTGGCAGAATTGCTGTCTGAGCTGTCCCTACAGGATGTTTCACATCTGGCTGCTATGTTTTGTTGGGAACAGGAGCAGAGCCTGGCAGACAGTTTCAGCCTCTTCACAGAGTACTGCCTCTCGCTGCTGAAGAACCTGCGGCAAGTGTTTCCCACCTCCATCCCCACTGCCATCACGCGCTGTGAGTTTTTGCTCAGGTAAATATGACCATCCATCCAGGCGTGTGTCACTGCCGTGCAGAGATGTGCTTCTCCAGTGCTGATCTCTAAAGCTGGAGCTCTCAGTCCTGCAAAACTTATAGATCTAGTTCATCGCTTCCTGATGCCCTTGGGAAGAGAAGAACATTAGAAAGGTCACAAATGCAAAGCAGCCCATCAGCCAGTCGGCCCAGTCAGAGAACCTCATCCAACTGTTTCTTAAAAGAAGCCAGTGTATCGCCTTCATCTGCATGGCAGGTTTAGGTCTGCGCTGCAGTTGCACGGCCCCCAAGACCATTACAGACTCATGCCCTCCCCGACATACAAAGGGTCCCTACTATATTAAACCTGTAAAAAATTGAATAAAATAGTGTCCAAAGATGAAACCCAGACTGAACCGAGATCAGTTTGTGCCAAGGCTGAAGTTAGGATTGATTAATTAATTTAGGTAATTGATTGCATTGATTAATCACTTCTCTACCAGCAACCCCACTGCATTGCAGATCAGGATGCCTTGTTCAAACTTTTAGGCTCACAGCTGGCATTCACACTCTCCTGAGTCTTCCCAGAACCACATTAAAGACTACAAGAATCTCCCTGCTCCAGTCTACTTTTGAGTATCTGGTGCAGAGACATTCACTTGTTCCCCTGTAACCTCATATCTGAAAGCCCATGTTTCAGGGTAAAAAAAGAGTGTTGCTAAGCAGCACTCAACACAGTAGACACCAGTGTGAGATGACCCCTCCGAAACCTGCTCACTAGACGAGCAAGAAAACCGACACTAAGCTGCTTCTTTACAGACGATGAGATAATGTGGTTCTTGTTCTCTTTTGCGAGATCTGAAACAAATCTTTTTACGTGTTCAACAGTGCATCGAGTTCAAGTTTGATACTTTATTACCATAACAACTAGTTGTGTGGAATTTGGTGTGGTGAGCTCACACAAGTAAAAGCATACAATAGAGATATACAACAGAAAGCCAATTACAGATGCATCCACCCAACACATTGATAAACCATCCTAAACACACACCAGCAGTAAATAAATAACATTGGGGCCTGGTAGAGTAACAATGAGCCGTGCAAAAAAGTCAAAGTTAAAGTGCAGAGTTTATGCATTTCACAGCCTCCGGATAGGTGCTGTTACTGAACCTAGTAGACCTTGTATTAATAGACCTGTGCGGCCTAGCAGAGGGGAGAGACGTACACTGAGGTTGGGCAGGGTGGGAAGGGTCGGCGAGGATTGTAAGTGATGAGGTGTTGAGAGGAGTGTTTTGTCTGCTCTTCTGTTGCAGGTGTCTGGGACAGATTCATAGCATGGAGGCTTTCAAGAAAATGTGTCCATTCCATAATGAACTCTATGTGGAAATCGCTACCGTCATAAAGGTACAACATTGTCAGATTTGATTTGCCAAGACTAAAGCTTGCTAAAGGGGTCATTTTTAAAATTGTCGTAGGGTTCACATTATTGCTACAATTACTTCTGTCGGGGACTACTCTTTGTACCGTCATATGGTTTTTGTGTTATCTTATGATTTAACCTCACATTGTCAAGAATGTGTTGTTTCCATCTTACTACTGCCAGATTACTCCAGTTATTTGTACAGAGATGGGAATTGTATTTATGTTGCAAAATACTGATTCCTAACCCTAATCAAACCTTTGGGCTCTCGTTTCTGCAGAAGAGCACATTGGAATGGTACGAGGGGATCATTTCCACAATCAAACCAGAGGAGGGTGTACGTACTGGTTCATGTCTTCGTCTGCTTATTAAACAATTCCGTCTCGCTGCAGATTTCTTTTACATTTTCTACAAATTAGTATTGGCAACATCCAGGTCGAGCAAACTCCCCACCCTAGTGCTAGTGAAGGATGAATGAAGACATTGTTGTGGATCCTACAATAGCCAATCAGATTGCTGCTGCACTGTGAGCCCTATAGCACTTACAGCAGGTTTGGCATCAGATGGAGAACAGATGCAGTGCCCACCCATGGTGCAGCGGGCTCACATATATCCCACAAGCCCCAATGGTGTCTGTATTACCATCACGGAATCCCATCCAACCCTAGTATCATGCATGTAGTTGTGCAACACTACCTGGACAATTCTGGTCGCAATCTGCATGTGACATAGCCCAGAACTGAAGCAATGATCTTGGGACAGGAGTGCTCAGCCTGCGCTTCAGTCTGGGACTTTGAGATAGCTGAGAGATAATCTGCCTGCTGACTGTTACACTGCAACAATTAAAAATAGACAAGTAAAAGCCCCCCTGTTCCTCAATCCGATGTCTGTGCTAATTTAAATGGTACATTTTTAGGAATTGAAAATATGGCATTATCCATTTTTCCCAGACACTTGAAGAGCAGTTGAGACGCCTGGTGTTGGTGGTGGATGCAGTCACCAGCGACGTGCAGAAGAGCCAGAACGTCTACAACAAGCTCTTCAGCAGGTATCTGTCTCCCGCCTGCAGCCACTCAGTGCGTCCTGCCATCAGCAACACAGGACAAGTCGAAAGGAGTAAGAAGCCTTCAGTGCTCTGCTTCGCAGGAGGTGTTCAGCATCGCCACTCAAGAGGACATTAGAAATAACTCATGGGAACTAGTTGGGATGTTATTACATTGGCAATCTCTCTCTTTCCCCTCCTTGCAGTGCTGTGAAGGTGGATTTCTTCAGTATCTCCTATCGACAGCTGGAAAAACTGGTAAGGAAATGTCTGAAGTCAGAACAAAGACATAACCGTGTAAAAGTGCACTAGGTATGACATTGTAAAATCTTGTTTCAATAACAAGAATCAAAACTGATAGAGGATATTAATTATGCAAATGAATGTATTAATTTAATACACAAGTGTTCACTTAAAACTGTAAACAAAAAAGATATAACAATTTCCCGGGACCAGGGTTGAAAACAACTGTGTTTTAGTGCACTGAAACTGATTTGTCTCGCCCTTTAAAGATCACTAAACTCATTTACTTTGTGAAAGGCAATATGAAACCAAGCGTCACTAGACAGCAGTATTCAAGATGAAAATACTTGGAAGTGCTGTTCTCACTGACCATAATATTAGAAGGCCTCGTTACATAATATATTGGGCAAAAACTGCTCGAGTCGGTAGCAGCGTGTATTTATATTTATATCCCTTCTTCTACTGGGAGTGCATTCAGTTCCAGCTGGGATGAGGATGATGTTGTGTGGGACCGAGCTGTATGTTCTAGCGTTTAGAAATACTCATGTTCCTTAAGCCAACTATGCGTTGCCTGCTACTGAGAGTCTGTTCATTTGAGGTTCTGGTCTTCAGTGTATTTATCAAGAGCTTACTATGAAGAGTGTGCAAGGTGACCCTGCTGGGATACACTGTCTGCCCTTCAGGTTGCTGACGATGTGAGCACTGCTATGGAGAAGGTGTGTGGTACTCTAGAGCAGGAGGGCACCAGACTGACCCAGCCCATGGGCGAGACGCTGTTTGAGCTGTACATCTCCCTGAAGATCCTCAAACAGTACTGCGAGTTCCTCCCCCTCAAGTAAGTGTTGAACAGATTAACTCCGTAACTCTTTTTTTCAATCATTGATGTTTGCTATTTTCTTTCAAAATACTGTATAAGAAATGGTTGTACGAGTTGCTTTTGTCCCACTCTTCCAGAACTCAGCTCTTTGAAGTCAATTCTCAGTGTCGAATCTGTTTTCATCTCAATAAAGATCAAACCAGTGTCCATTCCTTAACGGCATAGATTCTAAATGTTAGGATATGTGCACAGCATCACTAATGTACCGTATGCTTGAGATTTAACCTTGAAGACCTTAGCTAGGGAAGAGTGGGTTATATTTGTTCTTTGACAATGAAGACCTGAGTGTTTTTTTTTTCTTGTTGGTGTTTCAGGGACACCAAAGCTCTGGCTCTGTCTGGATTTCACGAATGGTTTAAGACGTCCATTCACAAATGGCTGCAGATAGTCCATGAGAAGTCATGTGATAGAATCCGCAAAGCAGTGGAGGTGGACCAGGTGGGTCCACGTGGGCAAGATCTGAGTTGATGATCATGTCAGGTTCTGAGTCTCCCATTGTGGTCTTAATCAGAGTGAACAAACCGCTTCAGTGAAAGCATTTTTAATCTGAGAAAACTTGCTCTAGATATGAACATAAAACAGCTCTGAAGTCTGAGCAGCCCTTAGTTTAAGCTACCCCTTTCATCATTTAGACTGGCATTTCCTAATTTAAAAGCAAACTTTCCCCCAGTAGGGGAAAAGACTTTTAATTGTAGAAAACTGTCAATGAGGCTTTGGAAGTGAGCCCAGGAGAAGCGGGGAGTGTTTCACTCAGTCTTTCCCTGTGAGTGTGTAATCTGTGTTGTGTTTGGAGCAGCTGGTTCCTGTTCATACGTTATCGAAGCACAGCACTTCTGCAGTGGACGTCACTTCCTGTTTCAATCAAGTGAGGGAATTCTGGGTACAGCTGGCCTGGCCGGACTCGGCAGGAGCCTTTATTTTCGTCACCCGATTGACAGACGTGAGTATGCTTGGGTTTCTTCGTGGATAAAAATTCATGTCAGGATTGAGGACGTGTCATCTTTCGCACATTGACATGTTTACATTCCAGCCTTGCACCCGGGCTAGTATTACTGAAATTCCTAAACAGGTAATTCCTAAAGAATGGCTAAATTATACTATGCTAATGTATGGTAAGCCGACTATAACATTGTTATGGACTTTTGTGATGACTGAGGGAACAGGATCCACACACTCTCTGGCAGAGAGCAGGCATTGCCTCAGGAGATATCAGTACTGTACATGTACTGTGTGGTCTGTCTCTCACTTTACTTTCTTGCCCTGACACCATTGAATCTCAAGGTTCTGTCAAGAGCTATTTTCTCCCAGCTGTTGCTATTAATATTTATGGGAAAAACAGACCACCGGTAGGTCCTGGAGAAACCAACAGACCTTAAATCTCTCTCATTATTTTATTTAAATGTGCTGAACACATTTTATTCCTCATTACCTACATTGCCATTAGGATATCCACGGAGTTCCCATTATGAGTCAATGAATTTTTGGGTAAGAGTCTATCCATGGGGTCCCCATTAGTCGGAGTTCCATGAGGTTCACACATGGGGATCCTACCAGTCAGAGTCAGAGATCCACTGGGTACTGCTGTTTAGTGTACTTAGTGTGTCAGCTTTCTATCGATAATCAATTCCATAAAGGACAGCATTTTAGGAGAGTGCTAACCATAAAGAGGCATCATTAAGAAGCTTTGGTAGGCCACTTTAAAACATCTTAAGTTGGTTTAATACCTGGAAAGGGTTCAGTTGGTTCAGTTATCAAAGTAAGACCTCAGACAGAACAAAGACTAGAAGATGTGCACTCCAGAATACAAAAAAAGTCAGAAAATGTCATGATCCACAGAGAAATGTAATTTCTCATGTACAAATGAGCCAGGACTGGGAATGGAGGAGGTCATTTTTTGTTCTTTGCAAAGAAAAACTGGATCCATTCTTTGGCTGCAGGATGTTTGCAGTGCCGCGATCTGCTATTCAGATCTGATCAAGCGCAAAATCGAGAGGAGCCAGATGCTCCAGGACAACAAGAACTTAACGAACCAGGTAACTGCAGGGTCTCCATGTTCACAGAGCTGTACAGCACTGAGAGGCATAAATGAAACTGAGATACATGCCAGGCAAAGACATACAAAATAACACATTTTGTTTTTCTGATAAGCCAGGTGTTTGAAAGCAATTGGTGACTTCTCTAGCTCATTACCAAATGTATATATGCTAACATCAATATAGAAAGGAGTAACTGAACAAACTACTGTGTAATACTACAGAAACCAAGGCAGTATAATCAGTACTTTTGTAAATGTTAGTTGGAAACATATCCATGAATGGTTATGTAGTACTGAGTCAGAATAGTTAGTGCTTTGACTTCATTTGCCTTTCCATGGAGGGGAATGTGCCAGCAATCGCCACACTGTTCAGCACTGTCTCTTAGGAGCCTCTGACTAACGCTCTACAATTGTCGCCTTCAGCTCTGTATTGCGCTGAACAACATTGAGCACGTGCGCAAGTTCTTAAGCAACCTACCCAAGGACCTGGACTGGAAGTCCCTAGAGGTGGCCATGGAGGAGTCGTGTGGGGCGGAGGGCAAGGAGCAGGTGCAGAAAGCCCTGAACGCTCAGCTTTTCAACATCGACATTGACCTGCAGCGCGAAGCCAAGCGCATGATCGCACTCCTCACAGACAAGGTGAGTGGAGGAGCAGACCTGACTGGGGGGGCTCCTCACAAAGGAACCTGCTGCTGTTCAGCTGCAGGCTGTGATGGTTCTAAACACTCTCAGGGCTCTTTCTTAACATAAAACAGTTTACATTCATCTGTTGGAGTAGCATATTGATTGAAAGATTTCTTTCCTTGAAGGACACCTTATGCATTGTCTCCAAGAAGTTCATGTTCCACATGTTAAAACATGTTCTTCCTGTGGTGGCATGGGTTTTCACCAGGTGCCCCGGTATCCTTCCACCTTCCAATGACATGCAGTTTAGGCTGTCTCTCTCCAAAATCGACCCCACGCGCATGTGTCTCAAAAGGATTTCCTTCCCTACTAGAGTGTAGTCCCACCTTGAGCCCTGTAATTCTGGAATAGGTTCCAGTTTGCTGCAATCCCATTCCAGGACAGGTGACTTTCTGATAATCCATGGATAGTAATTAAAATTATTGATGGGAGTCACCAAGAATGTGACTTAAAAATCACAGCTTAAGAGTGAATAAATTGTGCCGTTCATTTTTATAAATCAAATGCATTATCATGTTAATGACTGATAGGATACTCTCCCTGATTCTGTCGTTGGCTGCAGATGGTTTTAGATATGAAGAAATACATCCAGCACATCAGTCTATCCCCGGACTCTATCCACAATGATGATGTGAGTGTTCACTCCCCTTTCCTGCCCCCATTTTGTGTTTGACCATAACGGGAAAAAGAACACTGAAGACACAGGAGAACAGGTGTTTGACAAGTAGCGGTTCAAAAACCACAAGACAGCATTTCAGTCGTGTGTTTTATTTTGACAGAAACACAATACAGCACTTGGCTGGATTGTCAGATGCAGATGCAGTCTAATGCACCATATGTTTAACCTCAGCCTTATTCCTCAATATGTGTGTGACGATCCTGAAGGTACACACAACTTGTTTCTTCTAGGCTGTGTCCCCTCTGATGAAATACCTGGATGACACTTTGGTTATCTTGAGCGAGTCCTTAGTGAAAGAAAACCTGTCCAGGTAAATAATTTATCCCCTTAATTTCAGTTAGCTTAAGAATTATGTCAGTTGAGAACTAATGCAATAATATCATTTACAGTGATAACATGGAGTCCTGTCTATTCAATTGGATGAATCAATATTGCATCCCAATTTCACTGTCTGTTGGACATTGTGATGGTCACTGGTGCCTTTAAATAACAAATCCTTTGTTGCAAATAACACATTTGCTAGTGCTTCTCCAGTTGCATCCTGGAGTGGTATTCACTCAACCACACCAACAGACCAGGTTGAAAAGCAAGAAATTGCTTCATTGGTTGAATTAAGAAGCAAACATATCAGATATTGCCAGTGCATTTTATCCAGAATACTGGGATTAACACCCCTAGTCCTTCTAGAGTACCCTGAGATCTTTAATGACCAAGTACTCAGGGCCTTGGGCCAATGGCTCACGAAGGACTGCACTTCCTACAGTGTTCTAGGGCATTGGTTAGGAAAGTTGTTCCAGGGGGAGGAGTGCACCAACCACACCAGCCTATTTTTCCTGAGAAGTCTCCGGTCCCAGTACTGGCCAGACACAGCCTTCCTTTGTGTCCGAGGTCTGAAGTGATAACTCTGCAGCTGTCTACAGTACATTCAAATTGTATAATATTGTGGTGCACGACTTTCATGATCAAACTGTTTGAAAGTCCAGATACCTGTATAAGCACTCTAGGTATTGAAAGGTTTTAGGTTTATGTGTTTCTTTCCACAAATGCTACAATGGCAGAATGACAAACTTGAAATGTGACATGTGTACTGTACCCTCCTATTTTGTGTTTTTTCAACATTGATTTCCATCTAATTTTCTTCTTTTCATATTCCATCACATTTACTTCTGTATTTTGAGTAGTCTACATTTTAAAGCCATGTGAGTGTTTTCTGTGTAAATGGCCGTACTAATGCCAGTGAAATTCAGTCTCGGAGAGCAGGGCCGCTGGTCCCCTCGTGCGCAGTGGGGCAGTTCGCTCCCTGGTGGTATATTCCTGTCAACCCTGTTCACCTTCCTGTCTGGCAGGGTGCTGCAGGGCCTGTGGCAGCTGCTGCTCAGGCTGATCTTCGACACAGTGGCTGAAAACCGAGGCGTGTCTGTGGAGTTCTACGGGAGGTTCCACTACACGGTCGAGGTAGGTTGCGCGCTGGCCGCAGCTGCACCCTTCCCTGCTCCGAGAGCGCAGTTTCAGCTCTCCCATCATACAAGCTGCCAAGCTGATCTTGACTAACACGCGCCTTCCCGTCCACAGCTGTCATTGTGTTAAACCAGCAAGACGAAGCCTGCCGAGATACTGTTGTGAACAAGAAGCTGGCAAAGTGCTGGAATGGCTTTGTGAAACTCCCCTTGGGGTTTTCCTTTATTGTCCTTTCCATGAATGGCGCTTTGTGTCAGCTGAGAGACAGGCAAATTGTTTCTCTTCGCCACTGGACATTTAAAGCTTTACAATTCTCTTCCTGTCTTCCAAATTGTGTTGATCACAATTGGTTGCCGCACTTCAGCTCTCTGCGGTCTGAACTGCGGAACTGACCAAATCAAACCTTCATCACGGCCCTGACAGTAATTTGCTGGAGCAATTAGTGGGGCACAGTCTGTAATGTTGATGTGTTAATACCAATATGCAAAGGACAAAAAAAAAACTTCCAACAAAATCACAGCTTGCAGCCTCTAAGTGGATAAGCGCAGTGGGCATTAGCTGTTAGGGCTCGATGTGTTACAGGAAGTGGCTATAGGGCATTGTAGCGTCCTTATTTAGATAATCCTGCTGGGCTGGTTACCTGCTGAGTTTATGAATGTGCACAGGCCTGACCTTCCAAGATTGAGTGCCTGTGAGAAATGTAACCTGAGTATCATCATTGGATTGAAAACCACTGGATTTCTTCTGAAGTGGATTGTGAAGATCAAATACTAAATTGTCTAAATGGCAAGCTAAAGCAAATCTGTAAGATTAAGTTAGTTCAGGTGGGTGGCTGCATCAGCATGCTTAGGCTGCAAGGGAACAAGTGATAGGTTTATACCATGCTGAAAAGAGAAGAAAGAAAATGCAACCTTTTTGGCTGTGGAGCCTCCCACACTTGAAGAAGGCTCCACCGCCAAAACGTTGTGTTTTCTTTCTTCTCTTTTCAGCATGGAATAAACGTATTACTTGTTCCTTTGGTTTCTCTACGATTAAGCCAAGTTCTACTGAGCTTTAAGAATTTACAGTAATACGTGTAATAATGTACAGTGTCCTTCACCTGTCAATGAAACACTGAAACATTGTGCTTCTCCCAGGTTCTGGTTGAGTTTTTCCATGCTGAGGGTGAGGGCTTGGCACTGGACAATCTCAGGAATGAGCAATACAAAGTAAGCATTTACAAAACCTGGAAAACTGCTGTGAAGGGCTAAGAGGAAACAATGAGTTATAATCTGCACTACACTGGATATCCTTATTTTTCCAGACAAAAAAAATGTAATTGCTAAAAAGCCTCAGTCAGGAATATGACTTTTATTCAGGAAACAAAATTATACACCAGTTATGGATAATTCAGGAATGGTTATTTGGAATTCAAGAGCCTACCTAACACTTGGTGTACATCAGCCAATGTACACAAACAGCACTTGCACCGAATTAGTTACGTTTTGTATGCCCTGCTCTTCTTTGAATTCCGTTTTTTATATACATAAATTGTGGTTCTGCAGGACAAGCCATGACTGCTTCACAACAAAAAAACATAACATATGGTGCAGTCCGTAAGTATTTGGACAGTGACACATTTTTTGTTGTTTTGGCTCCGTACTCCAGCACATCGGATTTGAAATAAAGCAATGACTATGAGGTTAAATTGCAGAATGTCAGCTTTAATTCAAGGGTATTTACGTCTATATTGGGTGAACCATATAGGAATCACAGCCCTTTTTATACATAGTTCCCCCATTTCAGGGAACCAAAAGTAATTGGACACATTAATATAGTCGTAAATAAAATTGTCTAATTAGTACTTGGTTGCAGTTTCTTTGCAATCGATAACTGCCTGAAGTCTGTGACTCATAGACATCACCTGGTGATGCTCTTCCAGGCCTGTAATTCAGCCATTTTCAGTTCCTGCTTGTTTCGGGGGCTTTTTGCTTTCTGTCTTCTCTTCAGTAAGTAAAATGCGTGCTCAGTGGGATTCAGGTTGGTTGATTGACTTGGCCAGTCAAGAACATTCCACTTTTCGGCCCTGTTTGGGGTCATTGTCCTGTTGCAAGGTGAAACGCCGTCCAGTGAGTTTTGAGGCATTTGGTTGGATCTGAGCAGATAAGATGCTTCTGTACACATCAGAATTCATCCTGCTGCTGTCCGCAATCACATCATCAATAAAGACAAGTGAGCCAGTTCCACTCTCAGCCATACATGCCCAGGCCATGACACCACCTTCACCATGTTTCACAGATGAGGTGGTATGCTTTGGATCATGAGCAGTTCCATTTTCTCTCCATACTTTCCTCTTTCCATCACTCTGATACAGGTAAATCTTTGTCTTATCTGTTCATAAGACTTTGTCCCAGAACTCTACAGGCTTTTTTCTGTACTTTTAAGCAAACTGTAACCTAGCTTTTCTGTTCTTGAGGCTTACCAGTGGTTTGCATTTTGTGGTGAACCCTCTGAGGTTATGCTGGTGTATTGGTCTCTTTCTGGCAGTCTTTGACACATCTTCCTGCTGTATATGCCTACATCCTGGAGTGTTCTTGATCTGTTCAAGTCAAAAAGTATTCTTCGGTCAACCACTACTGTGGTCTTCCATGGTCTATTAGGTCGTTCGCCATTGCTAAGCTCACCAGTGTGTTCTTGCTTCTTAAAAATGTACCAAACAGTTGATTTTGACACACCTAATGTTTTAGCTATGTCTCTGATTGATTTATTCTGATTTTTCAGCCTCATGTTGGCATGCTTTAATGGCATTAACACTTCTTTGGTCCTTATGTTGAGAGATAACAGCAACAGACTCCAGATGCAAATGCCACATCTAGAATCAACTCTAGACCCTTGTTAGCTCTATTGTGCATGAACTAATGATACAACAACACACAGCTGGCCAAGAAACAGCTGAGCAGCCAACTGTCCAATTACTTTAGGTCTCCTAAAATGGGAGGACTATGTATAAAAATCATACATGGGGAAAAATTCGATGCCACGGTAAAGGCCGAGGGGGGGAATTTGGCCCGGACACCAAGATAACTCCCTACTCTTATCGAGAAATGCCCGGGGATCTTTAATGACCACTGAGAGTCATATTCCTATATGGTTCACCCGATATAGACGTAAATATCCTCGAATTAAAGCTGACATTCTGCACTTTAACCACATAGCCATTGTTTCATTTCAAATCCAAAGTGTTGGAGTACAGAGCCAAAACAACAAAAATTGTCAGTGTCAAAATACTTACGGACTGCACTGTAAGTGCATGAATCATCTACATAGTGCGACCTTATCTATTTTGCTAAATGTAATCCAAACCGTAACTTTTTGGGTAGAGATTTATTTGTATCTAATGTGCAGGGACTCCCCGTCTACATGCTCAGAAATAACACTGAGAACAGATGGCTGTATGAATGTAGAAAAAGCATGGCTGTCCCATTAATTTAGACATTTTGTGTTTGAGCAGAGCAGACATCTCTAAGTGTCATTGTATTCTAGGAGTTTTCAAAGATTGAAGGTGGGAGTGAGGGATCCCAGTGACCTGACTGGTTTCACCTTCTTCTGTGCTTCATTTATAACAACACTCTTTCAAAAATACACAATGAAGGACACTCATGTGTCTCTGCAGGCCCTGGAGGAGGAACTCAGACTGAACAAGTGTTCATCCAGCGAGCTGATTGAACAGTACTTCTTGGAGAAAATTGCACATCAGGTACCATTACTTCACAGTGGAGGTGGGGTTGAACAAAATCACACCCTTTCTGTCATGACTTATAGTTTGTGAAAACAGTAGGAAGAAGCCAGCAGAGATATTTCCATGATCAAGAGGTTTGGCAAGTTGTGCGACAGCTTTTTGAAACTTCCCTCTCCTCTTCAGCACCACATTGTATTGGGATAATAATACAATTCTATTTTTCAACAACTGCTTTATTATTTTAAGTTTGCCGTTTTTATTAACTGCAACAGACTCCACCTTTGGTAGGTGTAAAGGATTTTATCACACAAAAAATATATAAAAAATATATGAATATTCATTATTACAATAATTATACTGTTAATAATATGAAATAAATAAATCTTTCAGATAAATAAATGAAAAAAATATTATGTGGTGCTTAAGATGTATGGCCTTGTACAAGGTGGATGTATTTTCCCTTTAAATTAATGGGAAAAAGTGAACACATACATTTTCAAAAATACATTTTTTTCTTCCTGGTGCGCCGATTTAAGTTTCGTACATAAAAGGATTTTCAAATTCTGATTTAATAATGATCTTAGATACACCTTTGATGTATGATACTTAGATCTTTTCAACTCTTCTCATGGAAAAACTGCAAAGATATGATAGCACCCATCCCAGAAGTCTTTTTTTGACTATCTTTATGTTTATAAGACTGTTTATAAGGCTGGGGAACTGTGTCTTTTTTCTGTTTTCCAGAGAATGCTAAAGCACAGTAAATTTGGCCGGATCAGTGTTAAGTGCTACTACGAGGCCTCTGAACAGAGGCTGACAGTTGAAATCCTGCATGCTGCAGACCTAATTGCCTTGGATGCCAATGGTAAGCAGGTGAAAGACAAAAAGCCACTACTGCACCATTCTTTACAGAGGAAAAAGGCAACCAGGGCCTGACTGCATTCAGCAGCTTTAGTATTGACATTAAACTGGACACTTTTTATCTTACCTATGTTATCTATGTGATGACAGCTTTTCTACCAAGTGAACATCCAGTGCTGTGAAAAATTACTGTAAGTACACCCCATGGAAAGGTGTATGTTTTTTTTAACATATTTGCACGTATGGATATTTGATCTTCATTTCAACAATATTGATAGATAAAGGTGATCTAATTTAACAAATAACAAAAAAAAGTCAGAAATGCAATTGTCTGCTTTGGAAAAAATAAGTACACACCCTTGCTTTAGCAGCTGGTGTTGCCCCCTTTAGCAGAAATCACTTCTTGCAGGCATTTCTTGTAATTGTTTATCAGTCTCCTACATCGCCTTGGAGACCTTTTTGCCCACTCCATACAGAACTCCTTCAGCTGTGTGATGTTTTTGACAGATGGCCTCACATTCTCCTCAAGTACTCTCTGGTACAATGTGGAATTCCTGGTTGACTCTATGATGGCATGCTGGCCAGGCCGTGAGGCCGAAAAGCAGCCCCAAACCATAATGCCTTCATCACCATGCTTTAAAGTTGGTATGAGGTTCTATTGTTCAAAGGCAGTTTTTGGTTTTCACCAGACATGATGTCTTGCATTGTGGCCAAACAGCTCTACCTTTGTCTCATCCATCCAGAGCACATTGTTCCAATAGTCCTGATCTTCACCTAGGTGTTGTCTGGCAAACGTCAGTCGTGCATCTATATTCTTTTTTGAGAACGGAGACTTCTTCCTTCCTTGTGCGTTCTCTTTCGGATGGTTGCCTCATGCACTTTGACATTGAGTGAGGCAAGACTTGCCTGTAAATCCCTTGATGTTATCCTGGGGTTTTTGGAGACTTCCTGCAGCATCTTTTGGTCAGCTCTTGGGCTGAATTTGCTGAAACGACCTGGCCTGGATAGGTTGCCACTAGTTTGAAATTTCTCCATTTGTAGATGATTTTTGGGACAATGGAGTGATGGACTACAAATTGCTTGGAAATGGCTTTAAAACCCTTCCCAGACTCTTAGGCATCAACAATCTTTCTTCTGAGGGCCTCAGAGAGCTCTTTTGATCTTGGCATGATGTAGCCACCCACACACCTCAATTGCTAAGACCAAACCAAACCACAGGTTTCTGATGTTTATACTGTCTAAGGCAGTGCCCTCCACGTTACTCTCTAATGATGTTCTAATCATTTGCACCTGTTTTGGTGCACCATATTCTAATTTTTGGCATTTGATCCAATGATAAAGGTAGGGGTGTACTACTTTTTCTGTACAAGGAAATTGAATTTTGTTTATTTAAATAGTACAAATGAGTGCAAAATGGGATTTTTCAATGTCATTTTTTAAAATTCGATCACCTTTATCTATCAGTATTGTTGAAATGACGATCAAATATGCTTTTATCCAAAAATGTAAAAAAAGACAATCCTTTTCATGTACTTACTTTTTCACACCACTGTATATATGTTCTATTTTAAAATCTTAATGTATAATATATCTGTAATTTAATATATGTATATTATACCCTGAGATGCATTAACTCCATTAACAAACAAAAGCATCTGTTGGTATTTTTAAAGCAGCTGCAAATCCCTTAATTTAGTCAGTCACAGCGCCAGATACACGTCTTTTATATAGCCTTCAAAAGAAGTGGGGAGAAAATTATAATTCAGAGCATTTTTATTCCTCCCTGCCATGTTATTATTCAAAAGGTGCAAAAACCTCATTTCAAATTGCAAACATATCATGTGTTTTGGCACAAACCCTTTACAGTGAAAGGTCAGTGTGTTTTGCAAGTGGCAAGAACACACATGTGGAAAATGTTTCATAGCATAAATAATATCACCAAAAGAACTTGGGAATATGTACCAATGGGAATATTCATGTCTTGGAAGCAAAATGGATTAAAGACCTATTTATAACAAGAAAAAAAAGGAACTTTGATCCTATTTTGCAAATTCACAAGCTGCAGATTTTACTCCCACACATATGGGAACCCACCCAGTGGGCTCTCCTGAAAGCATCACACTCGCCATGGCTAGGGTGATCTCCTAAGTGCTTGTTAGATTGTACGACCTGTGCTTGAGGTATAGACTAGGACTCCCTGCTGACATGCCTACAGAAGCCAAGCAAACAAAACGGTCTTAATGCACTGTCTTCAGTGCAGCACTTCTCTTCCTGAGAGCAGCTCTCTTTGGAGACAGCCTTACCAAGAAAGCCTTATTTTCCTTCGTCTTTTAGCCACCTACACAGTGCAGCTTTCTGCTGTGCGGGCCTTTTGAAACACTTGCCAGAGTTTCACTTTTTTTAATGCTGTCCGCTGCACGGTTTCATTTCAACAGAGATGATTAAGGATTTTGCTGTTGGTCGTGCCTCGTCCTGTCTATCTGGAACCCTGAGGTTTGTGTGGGGAAAATCAGGCATCACTTCCTGAACTGAGTTACAGCTGAGTCTGCACTATAAGGGGTCACCTTATAATATGGGTAACGCTGTATTTCAATAAAGAAAACCTTCTGCATTATGCTAAGCACAGTATCTTAAAAACAGGTGCATACTGACTGACTGACACTGGGCAAGCATATTATGGTGTTGAATGAGTGAAACAACTTCTGTGTCTCAGCTGAAACTAAAACAGCCTGTTGTGTGAGAACAAGCACCACAAGCACAGCCTTTCCTGAACCTCAGCTTAAACAGCCTTACTTTCTGCTTGCTCCCCAGGTCTAAGCGACCCATTTGTCATCGTGGAACTGTGTCCCCATCATTTGTTCCCCACAACAAAAAGTCAACGGACTCAAGTCAAAGCAAAGACCCTTCACCCTGTCTTTGATGAGCTGTTCCACTTGTAAGGAGACCAATCTGTTCCTGGCCCGTTTTTTTTCCCATATGTAACTCTTTAAACAGATCTCTAGGTCTATATTTCGTAAAGAAGAAGGTACTGAGGAATAAATATATACTATGATTTTATTTCATGCCCTCCAGAAACGGGAATGTAGAATGGTTTCTTATTTTAATATTAAGAAGAATGACATTGCAAAGGTAACCTGTTAAAGTAAGCCTGGCTATTGTACACCAATGATGGGAACAAATTATCAGTTTGTACTCCTTCATGTGAATAAAATTATACTGAATTCTTGTATCATTAAGCTGATTTTAGCATGATTTGAAGGTGCAATGCAAATGAGTCAGTATTTTAGTAGCCAGAACCCCTCAAGTGCTAAATTCTGGAGATGTTGCTCTGAAGCTGAGGCGTTGATTCCAGGGTTGGGCTGCTTTGTGCGAATCAGCGCTCGAGGTTGCTGGACCCTCCTTCTGTCCGGGGCTGATGGGTATCTGTGTCTCCCCAGTCATGTTGCTCCAGAGCAGTACAAGAAGAGGTGTGCCTGCGTTACCTTCACCGTCATGGACCACGACTGGCTGTCCACCAATGACTTTGCTGGGGAAGCCATTGCTCCCCTCAGTGACTTCTGTGGACCAGACAAATCAGGAGGAGGCAAGAACATACCACCCCTGATTCTTCAGCTGGCTCGGCCCAAACCCAGTGGTAAGAATTAATCCTTTTTCCCCCCCCATGGGCTAACTGCCTGCTCCCTGGCACTGTAAACAGGTGACCTGCCTCCCCCAGGCCAAAGGGAGCTTCCATGCTTCCATCCAGTGCGACAGCTGTCATGATGTAAGATGAGACAGCTCCAGGACCCCTGTGGTAAGGGGGCAGGCCTTGCAGCAAAGGGGGCTTGACGAATGCTGGCAGTGGTGGTTCAGCATTCGAGGGTCTTAGAGACTGCTCTGACAGCTCTGACAACACGCTTTGCAGAAGCAAGGAAGCTGCTAACTGAAGAGGAGTAGTGTTTGACTTCACTTGTCAATGGTAATTCTTCCAAGTCAATGAAGAGTCCAAAGTGACTTAAGATGTCAAGTGTCAATATTAGAGTCTGCTATTGTACTGCATTGCAATATATATACTGCAATACTGTATATTTTAAATTGTTTCAGAATATCTTCCATCACATTATCCACAAGTGTCATTTTTTTCATTCCCACCACAGATAAACCAATCCTGAAGATGCTGGAGGCTCGAACAGGGGACAGAGAAGCCCAGGAGTTTGTAAAAAAGCTAAAAGAGATTGAAAAGTCTATGGCTGAAGAAGAGTAACTATTTTCAGAAATAAGTTTAAACCATTAAAAGGTAACACTTTATAATAACTAAGCCTCACTGGAAAGTCAATCAGACATTTATATTTCCTCTGAGCTCAAAGGTGTTCTGGTGCCAAATATGAGGTTATCAGATGACAATTTCTAGTATCCTCCAGTTTATGTTAAAAAGCCTCATTATAAAGTGTAACCTATTACAATTCTCCTGGTTGTTTTTTTCTGTTTTCCATGTTATTTGGAAAAAGTACTTTGGTGTTTTAAAGTTATTGATAAATGCAGCAATGAACATTTTAGTCTTCAACAGACTTTTCAGTGTCACACAGCTGGTTTTCCTTGCAGTCTAATCAGAACTTCATCTGCTAATTCCAAGCAACGAATCGTGCTCTTGCGTGTTTTGACATTCTTGTAATGACCAGGGAAGCAGGAGAGAAGAGACGAGACAATGTTGGAGAACAGCCTGCTGAGAAGAAGTGTTTTATGTAATATAAAAGATAAGGCTGTAAATAGCTGTCATTTAAAACATATTTGTACCCTGTAAAAGCAATTTGCTTCAAAGGTTGGTTTTCTTGTGTGCTAATGTAATGCAGTTTCTATTTTAATGCTGTCTTTACAGACTCTACCTGACTGTGATGGTCCTTTTAAGATAAATCTGTATTAGTTTGATGTAAATGTGGCACACAGAGATACTAAATATTTGTCCTTGTAAGGTACTGACCGTATGTTTTTGTAACTGTTGCACTCAAAAGCATAATTTATTTAAAATGGCCTTTTGCGTGTCCTTGACTCGAGGATGTTATTTGATGGGTTTGTTTTAAAGCATTACATTTCCACTGGCGATCAAAGCTGCCCTCAATGTCAGCTCTCGAGCAGTATTCCTACGCTCCAGCTCTTAAAGCTTGGAGGTTAGCTTGTCCTCCAATCAATGGGTCATCAGAGTGCAGGTGCTTTGGTTTATCACACACTACTTGAGGCCACAAGGACCGAAAAACCAGTGAGGCACTGAAAAAACTCAAGGCATGACAAGAACCAATGATACCAAGCCAATATTCTCAGAGGTCTGTTTGGTTTCCGCCTCAATGATTTCAGTTAGATACTAACAATTTATCAGTAGATAAATTATTTATTAACAGCGTCATATCAATATAATTTTAACCCCATTTCCACTGTTCTACTTTCCAACAAAAAGAAAAACATTTTCCTGTGTAAACTGGATTAACGAGAGCATTAGATGATTTTAATTATACGCAAGTTCTGGCACAGGTACTGCAGTTTGGTGCACTTTGCACCGAGTGAATCATGATTCATGCTGCGTTCAAGGTCTGTGCACTTAGAGTGACACACAGTACAACACAGACACATCTAATTAACACGCAGTGTCACCACACTCATACCCGGTAAGAGTGAGACAGCAGTGCCTTGTTTTTCATTTAAATGGAACTTATTAACTGTAGTTCGGGAGTCAATACCACACAGCTGTTCCTAACCACAACCATTACAGAAATAAGCACTATCTAGCGATCACAAACACCTCCTTCGCCATTTGTCTCAAGCATCTCTCCTTTGTCCCATCTCCACCTTGCAGCTACATCTTGGTTCACTCCTCTCTGAAGGGGTTCAAGCTTCCTCATTAAAACCAAACCTCTCTGCAAATTAATCCAAGCATTCGCAAAGCTTTTAAGTCTTGGATGTTGTTGTTCCTAGGGAAATTTAAGCTCCATCAACTATATTGCTCTAATTATCAGCTCAGCTACAACCTTTTTTTCCCCAAGGTCTTTTCAAACCAAGGGTTTTATAAGACACACAAAGGCCTCTGGAACAGGCAACCCAGTCATGCTGTTAAAGATGATACCCTAATTTCTTAACCCTCCCCCTAACCTCAGGAATGAAGTCCTCCAATCAATTAGCTACTAGCACCCACACAAACTAGATTGACCAACCGGCCCCCTTTTGTTTGTAACCAAATTTTTATTCAACGTACATAAGCAATAAAAGGAGGAGTTGAAAAACACCAAAACAAAAGTCAGACTCCACCTGATAAAAGATCTTTGTATTCCACCTGAAATGTTTGATCTCTAGCAACCTTTTCGCAAACCCTGGAAGCTCTTTGTCAGGAAATATTTTTCCTGACATGTCTGTGTCTTTGACTCATCTCTAAACAGTTTTTGTTCTCTTCATACTTACCAGGATTACTTCAAGATTTATTCCTGAAGGTCCGAAATAACAGTTTTGAGTATATTTGAATTTCTGAATGAATACAGACAAAAATAAGGGGGACTGTCTAACTAGAATGATAAGAAAAAAAAGGTATCAGAGATTCCTGACAACAAGCAAAAATGCTTTTCTTGACTGTCTTAAGCTGCACAAGATTTGATACAGAAAACTTGCCTTTTTCCATCGCAAAACGTTCTAAATTGCAAATTAGACACGAACACAACAGAGTCTTTACTGCTGAATAACGCGTGGTCAGTTCCTGATCCTTTTCTTTGCTCCCTTCCATATGACGTCAGCACTAGGAGTGGCGCAAGACTTGCCTTCCTCTTCTCCATCCTCTTGCTCACTCTGCTCTTCGGCCTGATCCTCTTCCACCTGAGGGCCGGAGTCCTCCTCACTCTCGCTCTCATCACTGTCGCTCTCCTCTTCCTCCTGCGCGGCCCTGAGTGGTCACACAACAGCATGATCACATCTAGACCCCTGGGTGCTAGGTATAGTTCCTCTGAGGGCCACAGAGGCCCCCAGAGTTTTTTTTTAATTTGGAAACAGCCTTAAGGCTAAAAAGGGTAGGCTAAAGGTAGGGTTTCCAAATTCAATTAAAAAAAAACCTCTTATTCTAAATGTCACCTGTTCACCAAGGTCTCCTTTCTGCTTGTGTGATGGACTATAATTAATCTGCAATTTGTGGCTGGTGGGTGACTAAAGTTCTCATTTAACTGCATCTTCCAGTTACTAGGGTCTAAATTACTTAATTACACTCTTCCGTGAGCTCTTAATTTAAAATGTAACTGAAAGAGTCTGTTTTCAACATTTACAAATTTAAAGAAGTTTAAACCCTGTATCTAATGTAACAGGTAACCAAATCAATAATAAGATCTGAAAGCAATTTTAAAAAGGCTCTAATTAAACGATTACGTCGAATAAACAGCAGTGCTCAGCTCGCACAAGAAAACAGGAGACAGCATGTACCCTGGAGTAAATGATTATGCACAATTGTAATCTAATTTATGAGGAAAAAAAACAATTTTCCTAATGGTAAATAACATATTCCCTAGATACATAAAAGAAATTAAATCAAAGTTCTCCGACTTTTTAAGTCACGTAGTACTAAAATGTCGTCTGAATCATGCAGAATTCTAAAAACTGCTTGATGCTGTTACTTGGTTACTGAATTAATACAATTACTACCGTTCATTAAGCCTATCTGAAGCTTAATTATTAGCATTTAAGGAGCGAGCACAGGGACCTGTATGCTTTATCCACTAATAAGCATACAAACAGGAAGTCCCACAACAGAAAGTAATTGACTGCAATTACCATGCCTCTCCTTTGATCAAGTGGGCCGAAAATGGGTGGCACTGTGACATTTCTAAAAACAGATTTCTAAGAGATCCTCGCTCACGGTCCTGATGAGCCTTCTGGCTTAGCGGTTCAGCAGAGCTTTTATTGAATTAAACAGGTGGCCACAGTTCTCTGTTTGTTAGCTCATGAGGATTTCAAGCTTCCTCGGAAAACCTGCAGGGTTGAGGCGGAGAGCAGCACTTCAAAAACGAGGCAGCGCGTGGTGCTGATCTCTGAAAAACGAGAGGTTTCACTCACCATCTCGGTCTGTTGGGGTTTGAACACTCTCTTCCCGAGTCTACGTCAAAGGGATCTAACAAAGGAACAACAGAGGCGTGTGGGACTGGTGCAGATGTGACTCGACTTGTTCCTCCACCCCAGTACCCATCTAGATAAATCACTGATCTGTCCATTTTCGAACTGCTTCATCCAATATAGGGCTGGGGAGCCGGAGCTGGAGTCTTTCCTGGCAAACTACGGGCTCAAAGCGGGATACAACTTGGACGGGAACCAAGTCCATATCAGGCTAGACACATACAGTACACACATGCACCAATTAACCCCTGTGCCACCCCTGATAAGATCATTTTAAAAAGAGTATGGGGTTCCTGCTGTTCAGCTCAGTTTATTTGTCATATGCACAAGAGCAACAAAATGCTTTTTTGCATGTATGCCCCAATACAAAGACATTAAGAAAACAGCAAAACATAAACACAGAACAGCAGCAGCCACAGCAACAAAATGAAATAACATACAACTTACATAGAAGTCAGCACAAGCAGTGGGCAAACAAATAAATTGGTGCAAGTCAGAGGTAGAGGCAGAATTCAATACTCTGACAGCTTGCAGGAAGAAACTGCCGGAGGACCCTTGGCCTGTCCACCATACCTATGTCGTCCTCCTGCGGCTTGGCAGCCAGGAACTCTTTCTCCACCTCCAGCAGCTCCTCCTCCGAGCGGCAGGCGGCGTAGCGCTCCAGCAAGGTTTCGTTCAGGTCCAGGAACACCTTCCCCCACTTAAACTTCCTCAGCAGGATGACGGCCAGGTCCCTGAACCCTGTGAATCAGGCACAGCCCCTCCGTCAGCAGCCGCTTAAGAACTCTGGCTCGACGTCTAGCGAACACGGAAACAACCGTGCAGGGCCTGCTCCCCCCAAACCCCGCTCCGTCAAGGTGAACCCACGCATCTTTGTCTCCCACCGACATCCCCATTTTAGAAAATCGTCAATGTAAAACTAAAAAACATACAATGTTTTGTGGCTTTTTAAACCTCAACAGAGAAAAAAACAAACACTGCGAACTGACATCACAGAACCTGGCTTTGAAACAGGACAATGTCTCAGCAAGGTGAGCATAAGGCAGGTAAAATAGACTTAAAATAGAAAAAGGATTCTAGGAAAGGGAAAGAAAATCAATGTTTTTGGACCACAGTGATAAACACCTGAAAATGAAAGATTTTTCAATGTGTTTATCGAGAGGTGGTGTGAAGAGCCTCACTTACCAACGATACAGAAGGTGGCAGCAAAGGCCTCGACGCAGGACAGCTTACAAGGCCGGCCGTAGTTCACCGGATTGGCGGCCACCAGGTAGGGCAGGAGCCGGGGGTGGCTTCCCCTCATCTTGCTGAAAGGCGTCTCCTCCAGCTTGGCCCAGGAGCAGTCGATCACTGCCAGGCCGCTCTGGGCCACGATCTCCCTACAGCCGCGCAAAAACCGCAGCGCATTAGGACACCTGGACAGCCATGAAAGGGCAGCTCACTGAAGGGCTGGCGCCCCCAGGTGGAATGAAAGAGGAGGTGCATGTGAAACTGGAAAAAACAGGTCCTCACTTACAGGTGTCTGGAACAAACTACTCGGCCAGACAAGCCACATGACATCCAAACAAGGAAGACAGGCTGAAGAGCCTCTACTTGCTTTTCATCTCTCTTGTGTTCTAGGTCAGCAGTGGGCATCTCTATTTCAGGAGAGCCACCATTGTTTTTTTCATTTCACTTTGGATCTTAAAAATATTTCATTTAAACAATTCTTTGTCTATTCATTTGGATCACCCCAGATCTTAATTTGTTACTAATCGAAGATGAACCTATACAACCGCCAGGACTCTGGCATCTGAGAATTAGAGTTGCCTATAACTGCTCTAATCTGTCCCACACGGTCCTTAGCAATGAAATTCTGTGCTGGCATCCCTCTTGCACGAAAACCCTTCACTCTGACAGAAATCATTTCACTTTTTTTAAAACAGCTGCTGCCAGTGAATGTTGGTGGCAATATTGTTCCAAATAATAACAGATATGCAAGGCATTAGTCTGTGGCTTAGACAGATGCTCCTGACTGAGTCTGATCCTGCATCAGGGAGCATTATTAAGCTCATGCATAATCATAACCCATCTCTGCCTTACACACAAACATTGTTTTTTTTCCCCTAGCTAGTACAGCTTGCTGTCAGTTTAAAATTGATTTTGTAACAAGACAACTTCTGGAGGGCTGCCGCTGTTATTAAAATCCTGCTTCTCTAGACAATGAAAAGCCAGCTTGTAAATACCGAGGCCATACATAACAGTGCCACAATAATCTTGATACCGCAAATAAATGACACTGGATATCAAGATTAAGCTAAAACTACTAACGCAAGCGGCCCTCACAAGATCTTATGTGCCATAACGGCTTTAGTATACAGTGGTGTGAAAAAGTGTTTGCCCCCTTCCTGATTTCTTATTTTTTTGCATGTTTGTCACACTGAAATGTTTCAGATCATCAAACAAATTAAAATATTAGATGAAGATAAAAACAAGTAAACACAAAATGCAGTTTTTAAATGAAGGTGTTTATCATTAAGGGGAAAAAAAAACCAAACCTACATGGCCCTGTGTGAAAAAGTGATTGCCCCCCCTGTTAAAACATAAATCAACTGTGGTTTATCACATCTTTGGAAAGCTGAGTTCAATTTCTCTAGCCACACCCAGGCCTGATTACTGCCACACCTGTTCTCAATCAAGAAATCACTTAAATAGGACCTGCCT